ATATATATATACATATATATATATAGAGAGAGAGAGAGAGAGAGAGAGAGAGAGAGAGAGCGAGAGAGCGAGAGAGAGTGCATGTAAGTATAATTGTTGACAAATTATTATGTGGTATATACTGTATGTACCTTGAAAATTAATGACATTACATTCTTAGGTTTTTACTTCCATATGGGATACTGTAAAATCAGTGTGTCACCAAGTAAAATGGTGTGTTTTAAACTTCCCAGAATACAAAAAAAAGTTTCAATTTCCTGCCACTATAACCCAGATGGTGATCAAGATGCCCAGATTCTTTGAGTGAAGGCAAAAACTGCATGCTCTTTCAAAGAAGCCTGCTAGATGACCCGCGCACACATCACTGGCGACGATCAGGATAACTTCTGGATCTGCTCTGTAAGATAATTTCACATTTAAAGTGTGGCATATTTTACAAATGGATCTCCATGGAATTCACCATCTCTCTTGATGTCTCCACACAATCAACAAAATTATGGCCACCCTCAGACTTCACCAAATCACACATCTTGGTGGTTGTACACAAAAATCCAGGTTATGCATAGTGGGTGTTTCAGAAGCCTGATTGGGAAAATCGCTACACCTTGAATGTGCGTAGGCCAAGCATGTAAAACACTGAATGAAGGATGAACTGAAGAATTTTGAATAATTGACGAACAATTTTCCACAGCACACCTGATTATCTCTCAGGGTACAATAATGTACCACAGAACACTGGTGGGGAATCACTAAATTCATTGTTGTTCACTTTTTTTTTTTTAGATGAATGAATATCCCTGCTGTTATCGGTCATTTTTCAGTTATTTAAAAACTACCATTGAAGATGAGCAGTTTTTGGGCAAGCTGTATTGTCTGGGACAGGTTGTATTAGATTAAAAAATGAATGTAAGCATGCTGTGAAGAGTTTCACAATAATTTTTGAAAATTTAGGTCATAATGTGGTGGGTCAATAATTATCATAAATAAACCAGCTTTGCATCCTGGTTAAAAAAATAAGGATTACTTTTGGCATTTACATATTATCTGGGAGTGCACCATGCTGTATTACTTTATCGTACTGCAAATGTATGAAAATTAGCCATTAACTTTTTGATTATTATTGTTTTGTTTTTTTTTAATCACCCATCCATCCACTTTGTAATCCATTTATCCCCACAAGTGTCACGGGCGTGCTGGAGGCTATCCCAGCTGTGTTCAGGCAGTAGGCGGGCAACACCCTGAACTGGTTGCCAGCCAACCACAAAAATCATTAAATCAATTTTTATCTTGCAACTTCTTTACAAGTACGAATGGAATTGATGATGACACTGACACACTCAACCTGCAAGATAAGGATAGTATCACCTCCATATAGGAGACCTTCCTTAAAAAAAAACAAAACCAAAAAAAAAAACAAAACACCATTTTTTATGAGAAAACAAACAACAGTGAAGGATTGGTCAGCCAAGTAACATTTAGTCCAAACATACAGTATGCTTATATGTCCATATACCGGTAAACATTTTTTCTGTTTAAAAATACGATCCCCGTAGTAGCGTAGTTACGTTACAAAGAATCAGGATTGCTGCTTAAAATGTAGGCAAGCCATTTTGATGACTTTTTAAAACAAAGATACACATTTTACATCTGAGTCTAAATGTGATTCTCTCCATAATGTATACCTGTACACTTAGAGTAAGTAGTATATAATGAATATACTTATTGTAGGTAAGTGTCTTTTCAGCTTTTTTTCTGGTCAGAACCTTATTGTATTTTTTTGTTGATTATTTATTGAACGTATAAAATGTACAATACAGTCATAAATTGACAAAAAGTGAAGTAAAATTGTAAGAAAGGAAAGAAAACAGTCATCATCACAATTATATGTTCAAAGGAGAAGGAAGAAGTAAAAAAACGTATTTAGTCCTACCCCTTGTTATAATAATATATATATATATATATTGATCATTTTTCAATACAGAAAAGAAAAGGAAAAAGTCGACATATCAACAAATGCTTTCACGCTTATGTGTGTTGAACTTATCTATTTTTACAACGTTCGGTTTGTATATATATACTCATTCTAGCACATTTATATGTCGATTTTCTCATATTCATAATGGACACTGCATTTAATTACCGGTAATACATTTAATAAGTTCATCAATGTAATTCTGATGTATTGCTATATTTTATAAATGTATCAAGTTTATCAGTTTAATTCTGATTTGTGTAGTTTTTTGTAATACTCTCTTGAATTTGTTTTTTTATTTGACGCTATTAACAGTAGTCTCAATTTCTGCATTTAAGTTGTTCTAAATCATTGAGGTACAACATTTTTAGTTAAAGCACATTTTAAACTTGCCGCCAAGAGGCCATGGACACATTTCCAAAATGAAGCCACAGAGGGATAAACCCAAAAGATATGAAAGTGGTTTGCTGCAGTACTTCCACACCATACGTGCTACAACAAGCAATCTGATCACTGATCAGAGGGCTTAGGCTGAAATACTGGGAAACAAATAGCCAAGTCAGTCTCTTCCAATTGTATTCTTTCCAGCAGAAGGAATAATAATTCAATTTTTTTTTTAAATGGTAAAGCCGCATCATAGCTGAGCCTTTACTACCACCTAGTGTGAAACACCCGGAGTGGAATTAACATAAAATAAACTAACAAAGAAAATAAAGTAAACAGTGTTCTAATTTTGCTAATGGGTGATGTGTTGCTCTGCTTTAGAACAAAAAAGGGTAAGCAAGAAGAACAAGATCAACCACACATTTCTATAAGAACATTCATATCCCTTCAGGAGTGCGCAATTCCGGTCCTCGACATCCGGCATCCTTGCTGGTTGTTTTATTTTATGTCTCCCTGCTCATCAGGATCGTTATCCAGCTCCTGTAGAGTTTGCTGATGAGCTGATCATTTCAATGAGTTATGTCGGGGCAGGGAGACACACAAACCAGACAGGATTTCGGCCCTGAAGGACTGGAATTGCTTGTTGCTTTCAGGCATGTACATATTTTGATCTGTTGATAAGTGCGAAGAAAAAAAAAATCTGTCCAAACCATAGACACAACAAACTGTTTCATAAGGAATGTAAGGATGATTATAAAATTGTTCTTAGCATGTCTGATATTAAACAGAGAATTAGACAAAACAAATTCTGATCTGGTAGGCTAACATGAGCTTGATTTCGAATATTCTCAGAAGAACAACAGCAGGTTAAGAATGCACATTTGAGGAGCAGGATGTTTATGGCGCAGTAATCCAGATTTCATTGTACTTGTTCAGAGCCCAAGAAGAATTGTAAGTGGCCCCAGAGAAGTGGTTAGCAACAAAGGACTTCCCAGCTTTAGTCAAGTGGTCTTGCAGCTTCTCCACATTTTCTTTGCTTGCTTCAAAGGTTGCCATTCCTCCAAATGCTCTTAACAGGATGTACAAAAGAAAACATATTAGATCGAGTTACCATTCATTTGACTGTCTATAAAGGAAGCACGACTTTGCCTCTTACCTGACATAAACATAACCCCGAGGTCTGGTTTGTAACCACACATCTGTGTCACTGGTTTTAGCCATTTCTGTTTTATTTGGAACAAACCAGGACATGTTTGCATTCATTGTATCTGCAACTTTAACAACCGTGATGAGGACAGGCCAGCCATCAGGCATCGGATAACCTGAAGGAATGCAATGCTGTATGATTAGGTGGACATGAAACGGGAAAATAAAACTTTTTACCAAGACAAAACACAGCTTTGACTGACACTGTCTACCATTTAAAATATACTATTGCACGCAATTATTTTGAGAGGCAATCATCAAGATGTTAAAATTCAGGCCTGATCAAAGGTGAGGATTTGTTTACGGTGCATCATGATTCTTATGAGATCGAAACCTCTTGAGAGAAGTAACAAGAAGATGACATGGAAGAGAAATTCAGTCTCTCAGAGCCCTACCTTGGGCCGTCTGTCTGTCACAGAAATGTTTCAATCTGTTATGTGCAGCCATCACCTCAAAGACTTGTTTGCTTTTTATTGGAGTGGTAATCCAAAGTGTCTCAACATACAGACGGGTTTCAAAATCCTGTTGACAAAACCCCCCTAAATTCAGAAAACATTTTACAACCGCGCCACCTAGAATTATGTTTTCTTAACGACGTATCGCGTGCGAGTGCTTTGATTAAAATCAGCAACTTACCTTGTTTGGCGTATCAATCAAAAAGTATTCAGGGCATGTTTTTTTTGTTTGACAAATACCTTCATTGCTCAGTGCTTGACAAAGGAAACCAAGAACAAGCACCAAGAGTGCAAAAAGGAACTGTACCATCCTTTGTGAATCCATCAAAAGTGAATGCCAAGTATTTGTACAGGACTGCTATAGCATGGCGAGAGGGCGTGGCAAACCATTGCTTTGATAAAAATCAGGGGAGTAAAACTGCACCTCCTGTATGCTTGATGTCAAAAGAGATATTATGCCATTTTTTTTTACCTGGAGTCTAACATTTAATTTGTTATTTCTGATTTAAATTATTTTTGTTTTATTTTGTATTCATTGTGTTTGCTCATGCATATGAATAAAGTTCAGTTGAATTTTAAGTAAATATGATATGACATTGGAATTTAGAAAGGCATTTTCCAACAGTCGAAGCGTCTTAGACAATATAGCTGCACTCGTAACGACCATCACGGCTCACCTGTTTTCTTGGTCTGATTGGTGCTTGTTGTCATGTAGAAGCAGACCAGGCCAGGTAGAGCACGGTCAATTACTGGCCAATTCATTCAAACACCTGTTGTGAATTTTTCCTTTCAGCTCATTGTTGTTGAGAAAACAAAGAACTTGCAAAAAAAAAAAAAAAAAACAGCTAGTGGGTTTCATTATTTAAAACAGTTGTCAGTGCAAAACAGAAGCTTGCTGTGTTTCAACATTTCACCAAGCCAACCCACACGCTAATTCAAGCAACGGAAATGTTCTTGGAATTCTGCCTATTTCATGCTACATTGACTATACAAACAACGTGAACCTGTCGGAGCAACTTCGTCAGTTCTCAGAACATCCATCCATCCATTATCTGATCCGCTTATCCGTACAAGGGTCACGGGCAAGCTGTCATCGGGCAGTAGGCGGGTTATATCTTGAACTGGTCGCCAGCCAATCGTAGGGCACTGAGAGACAAACAACCACCCACACTCACAATCACAGATAGGAAGAATCTAGAGCAGGGGTGCCCAACCATTTTTGACCGAGGATCTACTTTTCAAGCAACCAACCTTCCGCGATCAACCCGTTACCACACGTGCACGCTTGCACGCACGAATGCAACGCACACCCACGAACAAACGCTCATCAGCACGCACACATGCACTCACGCATGCCATGATGAGCAACAGCCTTAACGGCCCCTAACATGAACGAAACAGAAAAATAAAGTCGGTACAAGAGTTTGCGATAAGGAAATTACTGCCTATCTCAGTACAGACTTGACGCAGACACATGGGATGCACTTTTGCAGCATGTTAACTGCATGAACATCACTATCGTAGCTCACGTGCACCGTTTTAAAATGCTTCTCATGGCACTCCAGATTCCCATTCTTTTGCCAGTGTCATCGGTGAATTGCAGATGAAACATGAGAATAATATATATATATATATATATATATATATATTTTAGGATATATCGCAACAGATCTGATTGCAAGCTGCAATTGCAGACTGATGACTGCAAACAATTTCTGGTGATGCAGGTCACGCGTCACTGTAGGTTAAAGGTGACCTGGTTTTTAAAAAATTTTTTTAATACAATTTTTTTGTGAAACCGATGCTTAGGGTGCGGTGTACACTAACACAAACATATATATTATTAACAACACGCACACAGAAACACATCTTTTTTTTATCTTTCCATCTCCCCCTACACCCTTTGTGAACGACTTGGACCAGTCCGAGGGCTAGTACTCGATCGCGATCGACATACCTCTAAAAGAAATAATGAATGTTTGAAGGTTCTTGGATCATCTGCATCAAAACCTATTCTTTTTTATCACTTTGGTTCAACACAAGCTGAAGAGTTTACTTTTGAAACTCCAGCACCTTTTGCATAGAAAATGTTGAAAACATTTCAGTATTGGCCATGGTCACAGCATTAGATAGTGGTTTCAAAACAGTTGTTTTTGGAAACAAGGCATGGACAAGAAACAGTTGCCCAATTGATAATGATTGTGCCAGAGCTATGGAGGTGACAAGAGAGATCTCATTTACAGCACACAGCAGGTAGGCTTCTATTTATTTTATATTATCTTTCACATAAAACATACATTCATATTTAATATGATCCACTACAGTTATCAGGGACTGAGGAGCAACTGGCGATTGCTGCAAAAAAGGACAATGTCAGCTTCCGGAATGTTCTGAACTGCAGAGTTTGTATTAGCAAATCATTTCCTTAGGCATTATTTTAATTTGAAAAAGTATTCACATTCACGGTTTATCGGTTTTAGGTGCAAAGGCAAAGATCACAAAGTGCGATAGGGAATGTCACCATGGTGGTTCACTGATACCTGTCAGTTATCGAGGCATTATTTTTCTCATCAATCCATTTTCTTGACTGCTATTCTTCATTAGGCGTGTGCGTGAGCTGGAGCCTATCCCAACTAATTTTGGACGAGACTCAGGGTACGCCCTGGACGGGTAGTCAGCCAATCGTTGCTAAACATTTTTCCTAATCTGCATAATTTAAATGCCAGCAACGTGGTTTTCTATGCCAGCAACAGCCATAATCATTTGAGCCGGTGTTCGCTAAAGCCGGGATAAGTCAAGAAAGAAACGGAACACAGTTTAAGTGTTTTTTTTTTTTTTTAACAAAATCTTTGCCCATTTTTCTGAAATTCATTATAACCACAAACCATTTTAGAAAATTTACTAG